CACAGTGCTTTTTTGAACAGTATGAACCAATATCCAGGAGCATACTAGCATAATTGCTAAAGGGAGCCCAAACCCCAGAAATAAAGTGGAAAAAACTACTGCTGGTTGTGTGGCATAAACCGGTGGGTTATCAAAGCAATGTTTAGTAACATTTAAAGAAACATTTTCACGCTTGAGGATGTAGATTGGCACACTTGGACCAAAGGACAGTATCCAGACTCCAAGACAAATCAACCATGACTTCTGTCTTGCTCTCTGAATTCTTGTAGACATAGGAAAGCTGACAGCGACACAGCGGTCAAAGCAAATACAAGCGAGGAATAAGATGCTCCCATACATGTTGGCCTTCAGGATCAAGCCAAGGCAATCACACAACACCAGAGGAATGCCTTCTAATCCAAGGTGGTAGTAGATTCTCACTGGCAATGTGAGGATGAGTAAAAAGTCCGCCACGGTCAGGTTGGTCATGTAGACAACTGTTGGGGATCTGGATTTGATTTGACAAAAAAAAAATACCAGAGCTATAACATTCAAAGTAAGACCCACGATGAAGATGAAGGAGTACAAGCACACGTGGATGATGTCGAAGTGGTTCGTACTGTCATTGGTGCAGGTAGTGGTGTTGCTGATGGACATCGTGACCTGTGAGAAAGCAGAAAAAATAATGCATGAAAAAAACAGGTTTGTTGCAGGTTTAAGTATCAAAGAACAATTCATGTTCAGCTCAGATGTCGTCAATCAAATAACTGTAACTTATGTCATGTCAACATAAAGCTTCTTTGATTACTACGGCAGCAATGTTACAAACTACTATCTCAGCTGGGAAACAGTCAAAGAAGCACACGCTGATCAGAACCATAAGTGAAGCAGCTCACTGAAGTGACTACACACAGTCACACACAGTTCTGAATTGGTGTAAGAAAGACAAACTGTCAGACTCCAACCTGATTCACCAAATCGAAACTGGACTTAAAACGAATCACAGTGAAGCTGGAATTACTGAAGCCGTCGTCAGGCCTAAGTCTTTGCAATATGTTAGTGATTAAAACCGACCTCGCCCTCGCACAGCTTCATACCACTGAAGGGACACTACAAGGATGATTGAGCTCTATCATTGGCTATTTGCTGGGTGGGCTGAAATCACATTCAGGTTACCCACAGAAGAGGCTCCGCAGTCAAAGCTTCTAGTACCAGTATTAGTAGCTCAGGAAGATAGGGTGGCAGAGGAGCCAATCACTGGCTTCAATGTGATTGAACACATGTTAGAGAGGGGAATAGAGCCGCCTCGTGCTGTGAAGGAGGATGTTAGCACAGTATTCTCCACTGACTGTAAGAAAGCGGAAGTCTTTTTAAAGGTGAGTTTGTTAGGAGCAACTCAGGCGGACCCCAGCAGCAGATCACAGTACGCATTTAGCTAGAGTGTAAATGACTTATCTACAGTGACAGAGTAACAATAACAGTTCTGGGATTGCAGGGATAACTGGCGGAGGACTTGAACGGTCTATGGGAAGAAAAGGGAGCAGAGATTACTGAGTGGACACTAGACTTGTAGTCAAGACCGCCTAAACCAAGACAATACCAAGACCACAAGGTATCGAGACCAAAACCAAGACCAAGACAAAGTCGAGACAAGACCAAGGCCACGTAAAAGTGGTCTCGAGACTGGTATCGAGACCAAGACAGGTCTTAAGACATCCAACTCTAGTGGACACGGAGAGAGGAAGACGAGGGTTGTGTGAGGTAATAGAGTTGGAGAGCTTATTTGTCACGAGTTTGGTAGAAGGCTCGGGCAGTGGTAGTGAGGAGCTGGGGGCTGAGGCGAGAAGAGTGCGTGCTGGTGGCACAGGCAGATGGGCGTGGCCAGTTCCCCTTCTCCAGCACAGCAGCAGAAGGTAAGACAGCTATTGAGGGAGGAGATTGACATGTTTGCACCCAATGGTTTTTCTTACAGCACCTCCTTCTCAAAACTCCACCTCTCCTCTCCTGCCTGCTCACCCTCTCAGCCTCTCTGCATGACTCCGAGGAATTTGGACTCAGTGTATCCCTCTCATTTGAGTAAATTATGGTTGTGGAGAGATTACTCGAAAATGATGCATGGACTAATTCTCCTGTCTTCCTTCCCCCAGACCATATCTGTTCCTCGAGTCACAGTCCACTGGCTTCACTTAAACACTCACCACCATATGGCCCAAGTGTGTGCATGTGTTTAACTGAGAACATGCAACTCAGTCCTGCTCTCTTGCCTGTTCTCGTCTAGGCCTTGCACTTGCATTTAGTCTGCATGCCTCCAGTTTAACCATTCATAACAGAACAGCACATCATGCTGCGTGTACGCACAGGAAATAAAAATCTGGAGTCTGGCAAAGCTGTTTCCACAGGGTGCAATCGTGGAAAAATAATCCCCCTCTGTGGAGTTTTTGCTACATAATCTGTAAAAGCTGTACTCAAAAGGCATTGTAGCTCCAACAGTACATACACAGTATAAACTTATTGCTTCACTAACACGTTATCAGGAAAGATAGCACTTTAAATGGCATATGTCCTTAAGTAGTTTGGGAGGACGAATGTAAAACAGTCTATCACATATGTTGCCATGCATATCCCCCAACCTACTCAAATATGTATGTGAGAAAAGAAATGAATGGACATGATGAAAAATTAGTCGTCCTATGTATTCTTTTGTTACAAGATCCCAAATCCACCATAAGAGCCTATTGCAGAGTACTTAAAAGTACTTCTAATGTTACCTTTCATAATTACACATCATACAAGTGCTCTGGGTTTACAGCTCATTCACTGTAACATTTCCATTTGGTTATAACAAATAGCTGAAAAGTCATTGGCTACCTGGAAGATTTTAGCTGAGAGCTTGTAAATGAAAATCCACGTTTGGCCAAATGTTGCGCTTTACTTTAGTTTACTGGGTTTTTGTTTTTTTGACAATTTGTAAAACATTTCACACCATGAAGACATGCAAAGGTACAACAGTATCTCTGCTTCTAAACATTATTTGTGTATGTTTGAAATAACATGAAATAGTCAGTGCATTTTCAAACCAGTACATTTCTTTCAGTTTCATGTCGTTCACACAGACTAAGGTAAGGACAGGAAGATACACAAATAACATTCCCCACAATTTTCTGGTTTGGTTTTACCCTCTGTAGAGCTGAGTGACAAGTACTAAAATAGTGTTAAATAGTATAAAATAGTGTTTAAAGGTAATTTGTAAATGTGCTGATAGTGTGAGTTTTACCTGTTTGATGATTAAATTTATAAAGATCCAGTGGACGCAGAAGAAGAGCACTTCTGTGGTGAGCTGATATCTTTGCCACAAGGCAGCTTCCTGTGCTGACATCGGTCAGCTTCTCTCTGCTCAGTTTTCACACGTGTGTGTGGTACGAATACTTTCTTTACATTTTCTGTACGTGTTATGGAAATGTATCCACACACAGTCTGTAGTTTGCTCTCATATCGTTATTGTTTGTGTAAACATAAACAAAATTAATTATGTTACAAATGTTATTGGGTCATCTCCAAGCAGATCTAAAAATCTTTGTATTAAAATAAAAATGACTATTTTCTAAATTCAAAGTCATGTGACAAAACAGACGAGGCTCGTTGTCTTTTTTAAGTTTTAGTTATTATTGACTGGCTTACATGAATAATGCTGAGCTTGATTTACTTCTAGCTTGATGTTAAATTTACATCATATTTATATCTTAGAAGAGAGATCCCTCTAGAGGCGAGCAAATCACCCGGGTTCTGTTCATCTGGATGTTGGAGGAAACATCAGTGGAACAAACCTTTCTTCAGTCACAGCTGACAGGATGTTACCCCAACCTTCCCCAAACCCCAACTAACAGTGACCCTGAGAGGTCAAGTGGACTGCAACTTAAGAAAACAACAGCAAATAGAAAAAAGCTGCAAAAGAACACAAAACACAACGGAAATAGGAAAAAACACAAAACAAGCCCCAAAACTGGCATCGTTTTGGGGCTACATAGTTCTACAGTGGCAGAACTATGTAGATGTAAATGTGACTGAAGGAGCAGAACAAGTGTCAGGCTTAAAGAGTGTTTCAGTATTAGACATGCTGTGGCATATTAACATATTAATCTGTAGAGTTTAATTCGGCTCTCTCGTGTTTGTCAAATATTTTCACTATGTAAAAATAAATTTTTTAATTCAAGTTTCTTTTGTTTTTTCTCTTTTTCTGCTGTTTTTTTAAAATCGTCAAACACGTGACCTTTCATCAGAGTCGGATATCAACCACACACAAAACTGCATGTCAGGATCCAGACTGGCTGGTGCTCCTCCTCCTATCAACCCTCCCACATATCTGACTTCCTGAGTGGGCCGTAGTTCTTCCCACAGTTCTTCAAATCAGTGAGGAAGAGCGCGACGGTGCGAACGACTGAGTCTGCAGACAGTTTATGTAGGAGGCTCGTCGCACACCCTCCTGTACACGCTGAGTCTGCAGAGTTCTGCTTTTCACCAAGTGTCCACATTTTCAAGTTTACAGATAAAATGTTCATGTTTGTGTTTTAGCTCTCATGGGTCCTCAGATGCAGCTAAAGGTGGGGCTTTAACAAATCACCCCTTCAAAGGAGTTCTCTTTAACTCATCGATCCTTGCTTCTTTGATATCGAGTCCTCTAAAGGTCAACAGCACTAAATGTTTAAAAAAGAAAATGTATTTTCTCATCACGAGCCCTAAATCAGCTGAGTCACATGTCACAGATGCACCTCCATGCATTTGTGTTGATAACACACTGATAACAAGCTGTGGGTCTGTGTGAGGGTACGTCGATGATTTTGATCTTTTCAGAGAAGAATTTGTCTTTGGGCTGTGGAAATGACTTTAACCAGACACGAGCAGATACATGTAGCTTCAGGCTCACCTGTTTGTTTAGCTGTATGTCCGAGACTAACTTCACATGTGGGACACAAAAGTTTGTTTCTTCGTCTTTAATCCATTACATCGTTTCAAAACCCAGATCATTTTGAATAGTCTTTATTAGATGACGCATTAATGATTACAGACAACGGAGTTTGGATTTCTTTGGAAGTTCAGGATCGGTTATGAACTTGCTGACCAACAGTGATAAAGAAACAATGGAGATTTCTTTGTGAACAAATGTTCTGTAGACACCAGTTTGATATTTGAGGCTTTAATAGTGGAACAATAAACATTTCCTGTCACTGACCTCATTTGTGTCGTGTGCTGATGTCAGTGGTTCCACCACAACTTTGCAGCTACATGTTGAAAAGTCCATACAAGTTTTATTATGAGTTTATTTAACATTAACCAGAGAATGTTTTTTCTCAGTCCACTGTGAAAGGTAAGCGAATTAAGGCAGAAATGTAGAAAATCCCACAGCAATTCACAGAAAACTACATTCAGTGTCACAGTGGTGTATGTGGAAGTTTGTCTTCCTGCCAGAAGTTCTTAACTTTGGCTTGAATGATCCGAGTCGAGCTCCTAGTATTCAGTAAAGTCCCTTCAATTCACAAGTTGGAGTCACTTGTTCCTGAGAACTCTGAATGGAAGTCCGTGTCCTGGTATGATCACGTCGGCAGTACGTAAGGCCTCCTGGCGGCTGACCTCGTGTACTGCAGCGTTCATACTTAGATCCCGCCAGCTGTTCTCATCTGAGCAGCACTCAAACAGATCTCCTGCGATCAGCACGGTGCCTGCTGAGGTCCCCTTCACCTGCACGCTGATATCTTGTCCTGTGTGGCCTGGAGTGGGAACTATAGACACCTGTGGATGAAACAAGACTATTTAAAAACACTACATACATTTAGAAAAACCAACGAGATCACCAACTCTGTCACAGGACTCAAATTTTGAGATTATTGTTGAAATTATTTAATAGTTTTTCTTTATTTTTACTACTTTCTACATTGTAGATACAAACTGAAGACGTCACCTATATGGAGCAAGATATATGGGATTATGTAGTAAAGACAAACGTGATAAATATGTTTTATATTTTAGGTTCCACCCTTTGCTTTGTTGGCAGCGCTGCAAACCCTCGGCCTTCTCTCAGTGAGCTTCATGCTGTCGTCACCTGACGTGTTTCCCCTCACAGGTGAGCCTGTCAGGGCTCATTTGTGGAATTTCTTGCCTTCTTAATGAGGTTGGGACCATCAGGTGTGTTGTGCAGCAGTCAGGTTGGTGCACAGCTGGCAGCCATATTTGACGACTGTCAGAATTCATATTATGGCAAGAACCAATCAGCTGAGAGAAACAACAGCCCATCATTACTTTCAGAACTGAAGCTCAGTCAGGCTGTAAAACTGCTAAAACTTTGAATGTGTCCCCAAGTGCTGTCACAAAAACCATCAAGACCACGATGAAACTGTCTCACATGAGGACGCCCCAGGAAAGGAAGAGCAGGAGTCCCCTCTGCTGCTGAGGATACATTCATCCGAGTCACCAGCCTCAGAAATCACAAGTTAACAGCAGCTCAGATCAGAGCCCAGATAGATGCACACAGAGCTCCAGTAGCAGACACATCTCTACATGTTCAGAGGAGACTGTGTGAATCAGGCCTTTATGGTCAAACAGCTGCTGAGAAACACAAGGAGTGGACATTAGACCAGAGGACATCTGTGCTTTGGTCTGATGGGTCCTGGCCTCCACAGTCACCTGACCTAAACCCAGTGTGGATGGTTTGGGATGAGATGGAGCTCAGAGTGAAGGCAAAGGACCAACAAGTGCTCAGCATCTCTGGGAACTCCTTCAAGACTGTTGGAAACCGTTTCAGGAGACGACCTCATGAAGCTCATGGAGAGAACGCCAAGAGGGAGCAAAGCAGGACTCAAAGCAAAGGCTGTTTGGAAGAATCTGAAATATCAAACATGTTGGAAGAACCTGAAATATCAAACATGTCCTGAGTTATTTCACACTTTTCTTGTTTACTACAGAATTTCATGTGTTTATTCATAGTTCTGATGCCTTCAGCGAGAATTAATGTAATCCGAATGAGAATACTTTATTAATCCCTAAGGTAATTATGTAAATGTAAATAGTGTAATAGTTCATTACTGCGTAAATAGTAATGACAACTGGTACACACACACACACACACACACACACACACACACACACACACACACACACACAGTCCGTGTTTGCATCGCGGTGGTTTCAGTGTGTTGTATTCCAGCTAAATGAAGATCAAAATAATAAATAAATCTCTCGGTTCAACCTTTAAATTTCAGTGTGTGTTGTGACAAAAATGAAAAACTCACATGTTCATCAACGGTGTAAGTCTGTCCCTCTGCCAGCTCGCTGGGACTGTATCTGTCCCCTTCACTGACGTCATATCCTACAATCATCTTTGCAGTTGGGAAAAGACTCAGATTTCCAATGTGGTCTGAGTGTCCGTGGGTGCCCACGACCAACTCAATGTTTTCTGGGTCCAAACCTCTCTTTTTTAAGGTCGTCAGAAGGAAGTCCCGGTCCCACGGCCCCCCAGTGTCGACCAGGATATTCTTCAGTCCCGTTATCAGAGTGATGGTCCCGTCGGCTCTGAAGTTCCCGTCAGTCTCCGGACAACAATATCCGGGTTTCAGGACGGACACGGAATACGCCTGACCGCAGAAATCCAACTCCGTCTCTGACAGAGGGACTTTCTTAAGGGAACAACATCCACCAGAGGCTACCTCCATCACTGCAGTTACGGAAGTGGTGTGGAGCGTTTCTTCTTCTTCCTGAAAAAGCGGAATAAACAGAGAAGTCTGCTGCCCTCTGATGGTTGTTATCTGTTACTGCGGGTTTAAACCGACGACTGAAAGCATCTTTTATATAGTCATTGGGTTGGAGCAAAGCACGAGGGAGTATTAGGGCTTTATTCAGAAAAATATATTATTGATCAGTTTGAGAATAAAGCTGAAATAATACTCTGGACTTTACTCTCTTTATTATTAAAAAAAAGTCTGTGGTGATTATCGGCCTCTGCAAAACGCCTTCTGTAGATGAGTTAATGAGATCATACTTCAGAGTCAGTTTTAGTCATAGGAAATGATTTCTCTTTCAGCACAAACACAGTGTGGTGATAAGAATAAGGACAATGAAGAGATGGAACAGAAAGCAAGAAATGAAATGGCTGGAAATAAGACAGATGCCAGCATACAGATAGTTACACCCTCGTGAAAAAAGACGATGTATGTTGTTTCACAAGACACAGTAAGACAGCTGGTCAAGTGGTCTGTGTAGGTTCACCATCATCTAGGTCATGGGAATCTAGAGTTTAGAAATAAGAGCAACTGGACTTCTTAAGTTTCCTGAAGACGTGTCACTTCATATCCGAGAAGCCTGGGACTGAAGAAGCTTCTGGATGAGACACTGGGAATGTCTGAGGCCCCAGTCTGCCAGTTCTTCGACTTCCACCTCAAGCAAAGCTTCAGTTGCATTACAAGGGAAGCTGAAGCTCATGGTTCTCCTCCAATTTTCTCAAACTTAACAGTAATAAAACTGAAGTTTTATTACGTCCTGGATTGATTACTGTAATTCCCTCCTGTTTGGTCTTCCTGAAAGGTCCCTTCATAAACTCCAACTTCTTCAAAGTTCTGCAGCTCGGGTCATAACTTGCACTCCGTGAAGAGCTCATATTACCCCAGCTCTTCAGCAGCTTCACTGGTTGCCCATAGAAGCCAGGATAAATTTTAAAATCTTATTTCTCACATACAAGTGTATCCATAAATCTGCTCCTTCATATTTGTGTGACCTGCTCCACTGTTTCCCGCCCTCTCAGATCCTCATCTGCTATTCATCTTACTGTTCCGTCCGCGGGTCTCATCACTGTGGGTCACAGAGCTTTCAGTGAGCTTTCAGTCGCTCGGCTCTGGAACTCTCTTCCTCCAGCCATAAGAAATATTGACTCCCTTTCTGTGTTTAAGTCACAGCTCAAAACACATCTGTTCAAACTGGTTTATTCACTTTAGTGCTGATTTGATCTGTTGTCGAGTTCTGTTTTGCAATTTTAACTTATTTTATGTATTTTATGACTATTGTTCCTTTTATTAATTTTGTTCTTTGTAAGGTGACTTTGGGTTTCTCGTAGATCTCTTAGGACTGTCCTGGCTGACATGTGTCTGCAACGTTGAGGTTGGGGTGGCCTCTAGATGGGCAAACTGAAGTGATGGTTCCCCTGATTAAGAGGATGTGGCTCCAACTATTGAGGGATTATACTCCCCAATAAAGTCTATCCCAGGGTAATGAAGAGAGAGTTTATCTGTTAGTTGAACCTTGGATTCAGGAGGACACATGTGGTTTTCATCCTGGTCATTGAAACACTGGACCAGCTCGTTATCCTCTCAAGGATATTCGGGGGGGTGTGGGAGGTTGCCCAACCAGTCTACACGTGTTTTTAAGGAGAAGGCATCTAACCAGGTATCTCAGGGTATCCTCTGGGTGCTTTTGGAGTATGAGGTGTCTGGCCTGTTGTTAGGGGCCATTCAATCCCTGTACAACCATAAAGCTTGGTTTGTATTGCCAGCAGTAAGTTCAACTAGCTTCCAGTATGTGTTGGACTGTGTCTTTGTTACCCTTTATCAGCAGTTTTAGTCATAGCTTTTATGGACAGAATAGCTAAGTGTAGACAGATGATGGAGCAAACTAACCAAAAAACAAGTTAAACATAAAGGAAATCGCACAGAAAGAACAATATAGTGTCCACAGCTCCACCACAGAGTAACACAGTGAAACATTAGGTCCCTGTTAGTATACAAATTAATGATGAATTAATATATTGATTGACTCTGTCTTACAGAAACATAAAGGTTATGATTATGTTAGTTTAAGCACCACCCCGACCTATACTAACTATCTGAATACTTGCCGCACAGGCTGAAGCGAGGAAATGGCAGCAATCACCCCCTGTAGCATAGCCACAGTGTTTCAATTCGTTTCAAAGCCTGACGCTTGTCTACCCTGGAAAACTCAAACACGGTTTTATTTGTGTTCACTTGGCCCATACTCTGAGCTTCTATCTGATCTCTCTGACTTTTTGTCTTATTTCATGTTTTCTAAAAGGAAACTCATCTGTTACTATGCTAAATAAGTGAAGCTCATCTATTTGTTAATTCTAGCTTCCTTTCCATATGAAAGTGGAGATCATAACGGATCTCAGAACACCAAAAGCCCTCAGAGAGAAAGACGACTACACTTTGTAATGAGACTAAATACAGCTTTCAGCAACAGTAGCTAACTGCAGCCACAAGATGGTAGTAATGGAAAGGCTGGATGCACATATTAACAGACAGGAGCTTTATGATCAAATCTGTTTCAGCTGCTCCTGACTTTTTCTCCTCACTCTTTTCTTTGACTTTCACTCAGTATTTTAGAGTATTCATTTGTTTCAATGGCTTTCTTTTCAAAAACCAAGACATAATTTTCGTAAGGCTTAATAAAGTTTTCTGATTCTGAAAGGACAGAGATTGGTCTAAATCTTAAATTCTGTTTTAGATTTGACAAACTGCTTCCCTTGCTTGTCCTAATGGAATCCCACTGGTAGGACTGCTTTCTTCCATTTGCGCAACATCTCTAAAATTAGAAATATCCTGTCTCAGAGTGACGCTGAAAAACTAGTTCATGCATTTATTACTTCCAGGCTGGACGACTGTAATTCATTATTATCAGGAAGTCCTAAAAACTCCCTGAAAAGCCTTCAGCTGATCCAAAATGCTGCAGCAAGAGTCCTGACAGGGACTAGAAAGAGTGTGTGTATTTTGCCCATAATGGCTTCTCTTCGTTGGCTCCCTGTTAGGTCCAGAATCAAATGTATAATCATTCTCATCACACACAATGTCTTCAGGCCCCTGCTGCTTTACTTGTGGTTTAACTACATAGAGTATTTAAAAGTAGAATGGGAGGCAGAGCCTTCAGCTGAGACACAGACACCGTCTCTACTATTAGAATTGCACTTAAAAATTTCCTTATTAAAAAATGCATAGTTAGGGCTGGATAAGATGACCCTGAATCCTGTCTTGGTTATACTACAAAAGGTTTAGTCTTTCTTCTTCACGTACTTTTTTCACTCACTGTGTGTTTATACACCACTCTGCATTTATTTATTAGTTGATCTCTGGCTTTCTCTCCTCATCCCCAAACGATCGTGCCAGATGGCCAACCTGATGTCTCAGCCTGATTCTGTCAGAGATTTCTTCCTGTTCTTCCCACTGTCACCAAGCGTCAGGCTTAGTTCTTGTGAACTATGGCTATAGAAATTGAATTGAAATAGTAATCGACCTAAAACCATAATAAGTGTGATTTACTTTAATTCCACTGTAATAATGCGGTGAATTTGATTGCTATCCGATCCCTTACAGTTAGTTACAGCTCCATCGTTTGTAAAAGACACTTTTTCAGCTTCTAGAAATGTTGTTTTTATCTTTTAGGTGGTACCTGTGTAACTGATATATATGTAAGAAATTAACTAAACACGTACTGTAATGTTACATGATGGAGTCGAGCACTTTATGACAGCACACTGTTAGCGGAACACTTGTGATGTCATTTGAACCGGTGGGATCTTGTTTCTGTTACACATTAACGGCGACGTCACATCTTGACAATGGCGGAAGAAGCCGTTGTTGTTGAGGGTTTGTCTTTCATGGATCCTTTCAAAGGGCTTCTGTTGACATATTTTATGCCAGAATCATGCTACGACGAGTTCTTCCTCAAGTTCAACTTTCTAGACGGTAAGAGGCTCGTCGTAGTTTGACAAGCGCAGTTTATTCCCGGAAAGTGTAACTCTGAGGGTCTGATGACAGGACACGAGCGACGTTTCCACGTTAGGTGTAAATAAAGTGAGAGTCATGTGGTGTCGGGACGCTTAGTTAAAATGTAACGATATTTGAATACAGCTGCATGCAAACAATGAGGGAGCTCGTTTGAACCAGCAGTCTGCTACAAAGTAACGACACGAATGTACCTGAACACGGGTTCGACACGACTGGCAACACCGTGTCAGATCCACTCTGTTACTCCAACTACGAACTACAAAGTCAGAAAAACAGCAAACAGGAAAAAGTTATTGGAGGAATATTTGTGTTTTTATTCTCTCAATTTATTTCAAAAAGTTCATTTAAAAAATCAGGTGAAGGAAATGTCTTTAAAGTTGATTCACAGATTTAAGTCACGATGTCATTTACTGTAGAAACGTCGTTTTGTTAGCTCTGGTTATTCTAGCTTTTCTCTTATTAATCACATGCTGATTTTTGCCAAGTTCATTATTCACAAATGTAGGTTTACAAGCAGATGGCTTCATTTTCGTGAGATTATAAAAGAATTGTAGCAAATGTCTCCGTGATTTCTTTTTCACAAAATCGAAACGCTGGCAGTTCCAATCTCTGTAATGTTGAAGTAAACTTAGTGTAATCCTGTTTGCCGTGTGTTCTGTTTCACTGGAGTTAGAAGTGAATCTTATTGAGAGAGGAAAATGTATTTACGACACAGACTGTGGTACAGAGTTATTATAATTTAATATTTAAATTAGTTTTTGTTCTTGTTCACTTTGGGGGCCTCAGGATCTGATCTTTGGTTTTTCCGGGCGATGCGGTTCTTTTAGCTTCTTGGGATCATGACCTCCAGCTTGCACTGGAGCTGTCTGTGGAGAAGAGAATTTGCGCCTCCATGTCACAGACCATGGTTCCCAGACAGAAAAGGGTGGCGAGCCCACTCTGAATCTGGGATAGGTTACTGCCTGAAATACAGAAGTTCT